AATTCTTCAAAGCTAAGGAAAAATTGTCTCAAACCCAGTTCTAAGCTTACTAACTTGAAAACTGAACAATAATGAAAAACTAGATAAAAATTTGATACAATTTGATACTAAACTAAAAATCAAACATGTATTTATAGTCGCCAAAAATGTGTTGCGAAGGACCATTCGGCGCAATAAGTCAGGATCGCCGATCCACTCGACGATCCGCCCTTTGGTCAGTTCCATTGCCTTTTTGCTTTGACCTTCAGCAACTTCAAGTTCTATAACTTTGGGCGATATAACACTGCATCGCGAAACCGTTTGCCGACTCGCCAACTGCTCTTTTCTATCTTCGACTTGATTGTTTCCTTCAGGGCTTGGCATACTGGAACATTAGGTGAGACCATGGCCATTCGGCAACTTGCCCAGTGGTTTAGGCAATCCTCAGGCCTTCTTTTCTTCGTTCTTTCAGTTTCCTTGTTCCTTTTTGCTCATTAGTGTCCATGCTTTGTTCCTCAATCCAAATACCTGGAAATCAAGGATTTACATCAGTTATTGCCATAAAATATGCATTTGAGGACACTAAATCTATTAAAATAAAGCCCTAAATGAGTCTAAATCGTGGATTCATTAGTTTACATCTCAGGCATTTAACAATTATTGTTTATCCACTGGAATAACAGTTGAACATCCCGTTGCACATGTTCATACTCAAAATGATTTAGCAGAGTCATTGATTAAACGTTTTCAATTGATAGCTAGACCATTGTTGATGAGGACAAAGTTGTTTGTTTCAGTATGAGGGCATGTTATTTTGCATGCAGCAGCACTTAAAGCCAACCAGTTATCATGACATCTCCCTATTACAATTGGTTTTTGGTCCGGAGCCAACCATTTCCCATCTTAGAATCTTTGGTTGTGCGATATATGTTCCAATTGCTCCACCACACCACAGAAAGATGGGTCCCCAAAAAAGGTTGGGATATATGTTGGGTATGAATCTCATTCTATTATAAAATATTTAGAACCTAGAACTGGAGATTTATTTACGGCAAGGTTTGCTAATTGTCATTTTGATGAATCAATATACCCAATATTAGGGGGAGAACAAAAACAGTTGGGAAATGAGATAGATTGGAATTCACTTTCAGTGTCTCATTTAGATCCTCGAACAAATCAATATGAGCAAGAATTTCAAAAGATGATTTATTTGCAAAATATTGCAAATTAACTGCCGGATGCATTTACTAACCTCCCATGGGTTACTAAATCATATATCCCAATGGCTAATGCTCAAGTTCGAGTTGATGTCCCAGTAGGACAAAATGTTAAGGAAAATGAGTCTAGACCATGCTTAAAACGTGGTAGACCAATTGGTTCCAAAGGATAAAAATCCTCGAAAAAGAAAAGGAATAAATGATCGAGATGATCATAATATGGAGGCAATTGCTCATGAAGAGCTCCGAGACATAATAAATAATGCCACCACTAAGGAGGTCTATGCACCTGAAAATTATGAGAATGAGGAAATCTCAATAAATTATGTCTCGATGAGAAAAAGGTGGAATTGAAATAATATTGTGGTGGATAGTATTTTTGCCTATAATGTTGCAGTTGAAATAATGCAACAAGATGAGGATTTAGAACCAAGATTTGTCAATGAATGTAGACAGAGAAATGATTGGTCAAAATGGAAGGAAGTAATTCAAACAGAATTGGCTTCACTTGAAAAACGTGAAGTTTTTGGACAAATTGTCCGAACACCTTCAGGTGTCAAGCCAGTGGGGCACAAATAAGTTTTTGTGCGAAAACGCAATAAAAATGGTAAAGTCTAGGGGTGGGCATAAATACTGAAAAACCAAAAAACTGAATCAAACCGAACTAATTCGGTTCTTCAGTTTCGGTTCTTCAATTTTTTGGTTCAGTGTCGGTGTTAACTTTTCGAAAGTTCGGTTCTTCGATTCGGTGTTCGGTGTAAGGGTCTCAAAACTTCGGTGCACCAAAAAACTGAACTTTTATTAAAAAAAAATAAAAACTAAAATATTTATATATATATATGGGCATTCTCTTAACTAAAAATTAAAAATTCAATCAACAATTAAATCAGTCATGATCAAATCAAAGTAACATCAAATGTACAATTCAATAGTTAACTTGAAATATTAATTTCCAACAAACTCAAAAATATTTCTACCAATGTACATTATGTAAAGGAACCATCTTCATACTCGTTTTTCTAAATTGTTGGAGGCACAATGTTCTTGATAAAGACAAATATAGTCTTTTAGTTAGCACAATAAGTGTTCCACGGTAATACGCATCATTCCTTAACATAGTTTTAAATTTCTAAGTATCTTATACTTTATCCTTATTTTATTTTTCATTCACACTGAAAACCGATTTAAAAACACCGAACTAAATGGAACCGAAGTAGAAAAAACTGAATCGAACCGAATTAGTTTAGTTTAATATACGGTGAGCACTTTTCTAAAATCAAAAACCAAAAAACCGAACCGAAGAACCGAACGCCCACCCCTAGTAAAGTCGTAAGATATAAAGCATGACTTGTGGCACAAGAATTTTCGCAAAGGCTTGTCATTGATTGTGAGGAGACGTATTCTGCTGTGGTAGATGCAATTACCTTCAGGTATCTAATAAATATGACAGTTAATGAAAAGCTTGAAATGCATCTAATGGACGTTGTCACATCCTATTTATATGGCTCACTAGACCACAATATTTTTATGAAAATTCCTGAAGCACTAAAAGGGCCTGAAGCATATAAAAATTCAAAAGAAAGTTGTTCAATAAAGCTTCAGAAATCCTTATATGGATTGAAACAATCAAGGCGAATGTGGTATAATCGTCTTAGCGAATATTTGCTAAAAGATGGGTATAAGAATGACCCTATTTGTCCTTGTATTTTTATATGAAGGTCAAAATCTGAATTTCTAGTAATATATGTTTATGTTGATGACTTGAACATCATCGGAACTCCTAAAGAGCTTTCAAAAGTTGTTGAGTGTTTGAAGAAAGATTTTGAAATGAAAGATCTTGGTAAGACCAAATTTTATCTTGGCCTTCAGATTGAACATTTGACAAATGGAATATATATCCATCAATCAACATATACTAAAAAGGTTTTGAAGCGATTTTACATGGATAAATCACACCCATTGAGTATCCCGATGGTTGTGAAATTTCTTGATAGAAATAAAAATCCATTCCAACCTCAAGAAAAGGATGAAGAGTTTCTTGGTGATGAAACTCCATATCTCAGTGTTATTGGGACATTAATATACCTTGCCAATATTACCCGACCATATATTTTATTTCGCAATAAGTTTATTGGCGAGATTCAGCTCATGTCCAACAAGAAAACATTGGAAATGTGTAAAGCATATATTCAGATATCTTCAAGGAACAATTGATATGAAATTGTTGTATTCTAATGCATCCAAGTCAGAATTGATCGGTTATGCAGATGCTGGCTATTTGTCTGACCCACATAAAGCCCGATCTTAGACAAGCTATTTAATTATTCACATATGGAGGTATATCTATATCATGGAGTTCGATGAAACAAACAATAGTTGCTACTTCTTCAAATCATACAGAGATAATAGTCATTCATGAAGCCAATCGAGAATGTGTATGGTTGAGATAAATGACTCAACACATTTTACAATTATGCGGTTTTTCTGTCAAACAAAGACTACAATAATATTGTATGAATATAATGTTGCCTGCATAGCTCAATTAAAGGGAGGATATATCAAAGGAGACCAAACAAAGCATATCTCACCTAAGTTCTTTTTCACACATGATCTTCACCAAAACAATGAGATAAATGTTCAATAGATTCGTTCGAGTGATAATCTTGCAGATTTATTCACTAAGGCATTGCCAACGTCAACATTTGAGAAGCTAAGATATAAGATTGGAATGCGTCGTCTCTAAGATATCAAATTAAGTTTTCATCGGGGGAAGTAAAATACGCGTTGTACTCTTTTTTCCTTATCCAAGGTTTTGTCCCATTGGGATTTCCTGGTAAGGTTTTTAATGAGGCAACACTCAAAGCGTATTACAAGATTGTGCACTCTTTTTCCTTCACTAGGCTTTTTCCCACTGGGTTTTTCCTACTAATATTTTAACGAGGCACATTATCTATAAACATCCAAGGGGAGTGTTACAAATCCATTTAATTGTGTGGATGTTTCTTTTCAATCTACACCTAACGTAATGTCCTATTTAATGTATCACTTAAAGAGCTTCTAATGTATTTTGTTTAACATTGTAAACGGGTGATTTCTACATCCTATAAAAGGGTATGTTTCACCTTTGTGAAAGAGAACACTTGAAGAGATTAAATAATATTCTCTACTTTATACTTTCCATCACCATTTGTCTCCCTTTATTGTTTGTGTATTCTTGTTTTTCCTCTTGTTTTACAACACAAAAGAATATTTCAAAAATATTAATTAAATTTCACATAGCTTGAATTTCAAGAATAAGTATATTACCCTTATTTAGAAGGGACAGTTGGAGAGGACTAACATAGCATAAGAAAATTGTACCAAAAGCAAGTTAAATTGTACTACTTTCTCTTTTTATTGGAGAGGACTAACATAGCATAAGAAAATTGTACCAAAAGCAAGTTAAATTGTACTACTTTCTCTTTTTATTGGAGAGGACTAACATAGCATAAGAAAATTGTACCAAAAGCAAGTTAAATTGTACTACTTTCTCTTTTTATTGGAGAGGACTAACATAGCATAAGAAAATTGTACCAAAAGCAAGTTAAATTGTACTACTTTCTCTTTTTATTGGAGAGGACTAACATAGCATAAGAAAATTGTACCAAAAGCAAGTTAAATTGTACTACTTTCTCTTTTTATTGGAGAGGACTAACATAGCATAAGAAAATTGTACCAAAAGCAAGTTAAATTGTACTACTTTCTCTTTTTATCCCTTTCTCTCTTCATCTTGAAATGGGTGAGTCTTTTTGCCCTTCTTCTGCATCTGTTTTTTTCTCTTCAAAGATTGCATGTATTAGGTGTGAGGATTGTAAAATAACTATTTTTATCCTTCCATTCCTAATTTGTTTCCAGTTCTTTTTGGTATTTATTTGATTTTATGATTTTTGAATGCATTGTTGTAGGATTTTATTCTTGCATGTTACTAATTTGGTTTGATTTACTCATGGTTGTTCGAAAATTGATTTTCCCATTTTTATTCTTCTCACTTTTCTCTTTTCCTCTTTGCAAGTTCACGTTTTTTGTAGTCACAATCTGTTAGGTTATTTTATTTCCAGTTCTTTTATCGTGTATTTTCTGTTTTTTGAGTACTTTATGGTAGAATTTTGCACTTTCATGTTCCTAATTTCGTGTTATATAATGATGTATGTTTTGAAAATGTATATGTACTAGACCGTGTGATGTAGTACTGTAGTGCATCTGGAGCTTTTTGTGGGTTTTCGTTCTTTTAGAATTTGTCAATTTTTTTCTATTTGTGCAAAGTTTGAGCTCGCTATAGTTGGAGTTATTTTTATTTTGAATTTTGAATTTGACTTGAGAGTTGTATTGTGAATGACTTAGAAAAATAACAAAGAGAGCCTATATGTGGAGCAATGACAACTTGAAAGTGATTTCGGAGAAAGAACAAACGTATAGTTCCATCTTAAGAGTAGTTCCATTTTTGAAAAAAATGAGAAAAGATCATGTGAATGTAAAGTAGCACATGTGTTTTCTTTCCTCCTTTGAATTGTTTCCCTTTCAGATCTGCTAATATTGATCCATTTGACGACTAATTTTAATGTTGTTTTCTTATTTTTCTAGCATATGGCAAGATGTAAGCACAAGGGTGGACAAGCAGATGGGAAAAAACAGCATGTTCTCGGGGTCACTAGAAACCTTGTGGATGCTTCAACTGGTAATGAAAGCAAATCGCTTTTCTCCACCGTATTACAGTAACTAACAATCTTATTTTTCACGAGTTCCCTTTTGGCTCATTCAGTGTCAAATGCACAAGCAGTGCAGAGAAGAACAAGATAAACGTTCTGTAGCACAATGTAATTATAGAAAACTTTAGTTTTAGGATAGAAAACTTTAGTTTTAGGATAGAAAGTCGACTGGTCCATATATGTTCCAAGTTTTCTTATTTTGCATAAACCACTTTAAGTGTTTTCAATAGAGTTATAGCAGGCTAGGCTCGGACTCTCCTAAATCGTTGTTGCATCTGTATAGAATTTTTCAAATGCATTACTTTTGGAGTATCCGACACAAAGAGTCCAAGCAACATAGCAAGCAGAAAAAGGTGTTCCAGCAAATGCAGCAGTAAGAAGAAAGGTATCTGGTAAGCCAAGAGGTGACACTGTTGTTGTGATAAACCCTGTTGTGGAAATCAAAATTCTTCATGAGAGCCGCTTAAGCACCTCTTGAGTAGAAGAAAAGCAAAGACGCCTGGAAAATTTTACTTCTCCCTCTTTCACCAAGGATGAAAGATATGAATGCATTCCCTTTGCCTCGATGAAAGGTATAGCAAGTAATATCATTATATATAGTTAGATTGACCGTTCTATTATCAGGTTGTTTATGGATATTTAAGCAAATCAAGCAATCTTCTTCTTGATGTTGTGATCTTGTGCATGACAGTTTAGGTTACATTTCAATATTGATATTTTAAACTTGAAGTTTAGGTTATACAGAACAAGTCACAAAAACTCTTATTTGAATAGCTCAATTTCTGGAAGTACCATATAAACAAATGATAAGCTTTATCAAAATGGATGAAAGCTAGAATTAGCCACACATATAAGTCAACTGGTGATATATTATTCCATATTTGCCTGTTGTATTTTTACACTACAGTAAAAAAAATTATGATGATTAAAATGCCAACTTTTTGTCTACTTTGTATTAAATTGTTGAGGTTGTTAGCTTGGATAGTAGTAAGTTTATCGTTTTTTTAATACGATTTTCTACGGCTCACTTTATTTGTACTTAAACAGATAGTAGATACCAATGAACTCTTAACACTTATCTTCAGATTCCACATTCAGATCATAACCACTACATATCTATTTGCTCACTCATTGGTGAAAAATCTAAATCTGTCACTATATGAAATAGACCACTCATTCCAGGCATGTTTGATAGAAGCAAGCTGAGAATTGAACCGTATTTGATGGACATTTCTTCAACTGGACATTTAAATCAGGGTTCGACCCTAAACCCTTTCCTGGGTACATGTATAGGCTGCCAGAGTTGAACTAGGAAGCAGCCGTAGTGGCCATGTGACATCTTCGACTTTATCCGCTGTTGGAGTGGATTTGTAAGTCAAATTTTATGGATGTTCAGAAAAAACTTGGTTGATAATGTCGTTTTTTCAGTTCACAGTACTGGTTTGATATTTGAGATCTGTTTATGTTGTAAATGTGCAGAGTCTAATCTTTTGATTGTAAATAAAATAGATTGTAATCTTAGGCTATGAAATTTATACATCACTTCTCTTGCGGTTAGTGTTTATTTTTTATTGCTCAAATTTCCTCTTTATTCATGTTTTTTCTTTGTGGATTTAGCCTCGGGAGTTCCTATCGGATAAAAATAGTTGTAACAACAAGTGAAGAGGATTGAAGCGACCAACGTGTTTGACGAAATTTTCCAGTGAAAGGAAGATTACCAACAAGTTTGTTTAACCATTTTTCTACAACTATCTACTATCAAGCTCATCGCTTAGCATGGACGTTAATCCTCGATATTTCTTTAGCCATGCTATTCTCTACATTATGCTTCATATTCAAAGGACATATATCTTGGATCGAAAATGAACACTCATTTAGTTGAATTGAGATATTGAATTTTTGTCACATTTGTTTACTTGGTGTTAGAATGAATCTTATTTGAACTATCATACCATGATTCAATGGTATTGAACTATCATATCATGAGGCTAAGTATGACGTTTTTATTAAATTTCTGTTAAAATCGTGAGTTTGAGGTGTAATTTATCCTATCTGGAACTGCTTACTCTACCAATATGTTGGTATCTCATATTGAGAAGTAAGAAATAAACTCTAATACTTATCTTAATGTGTTCTCTTTGTACATTGTTGCTATTCCTGGCCCAATTCACTATATTTTTATGAAATTCTTTGATTTCTGTGGAATGATGTGAATTGTAGGCTTCAAGTGATTTACTGATACATTACATGCGTACATTTTGAATTTTTTTGGGAAGAAATCACAGTGGTCATTCTTTTGTTTGACCAGCAACTAAGATTATCAGTTTCATCCGTATTGTAAGCTCTCAATTATTTAACCTATTCAGTATGTAACTTCCTGATTTAGTCTGCTGAGTTTAAGTTTTATGAATGTGATTCCTTTGTGATGCAAAGACATTTGGAATGCTTACCAATTACTACTTTTGGATCCTTGCTCACTTTAACAATTGTACTGTTGAGTGAGGTAAGTGACCGAAAAAACAATCAAGTTCTAGAAACAGCAGATCAAATCATGGAAAATGATTGATTTCAGATTCTCTGATTATCATTCCTTTAGTACAATTTCACATGCCTAAAGATGAAAATTGACCTTGATACACTTTAATAGAAACTTGTGTTGACTACTTCTGGTGTGTTCGCTTTTCAATAATTTGCAGGAACAACAGGTACTAATGTTTGGGCGCGGAAAAGTAGATATGTACAAAGAGTTGAAGAGTTGATGTTCTTCATGAAATGATATGCTGTAAATGTAGAATGTTTCTAATTACTTTGACCATGTCTGCTCTTACTTGATCATCTCTTTCACTGATACATCGACATCACTTGAATAAATTGTTTCTTTGCAATTTGTAGTTTATACAACTAAATTTATTATTTATGGAGAAGGAACTTACAATGTTGGGCCCGTGCTCAGCACGGGCCATGCCTCTCTAGTATCATATAATTGAGAGAGCATGTATGTATGCAGGAGTTTATGGATGATTTTTGATTTTGGGTTACATGAAAATAGTAACAAAACATGTGTAATTATTTGTCAAGATTACTGATAGTCTTTTTGTTATATTTTCTTGTTGGAGAATATTTGATACATTTAAGTGTTTACGAAACTAGGAAATTATGAAATTATTGAGAAGAAAAAAATAATAGTTTTATACTCCTTTTGTTTTTCGTATTAGTTATTTTACTTTTTTACATGTTCTTTAAGAAATTATTAATAAAAATGATAATTTATTAATTTACTCTTTATATATTTTTACAATTTTACAAAATTTATTTATACTTTCAAAAATAATTAATTGTTAGGGTAATTAAAATTTAAAAAATTATAATTTAATTTTGTTAATTGATAAATAATTTTAATAATTATATTTAGTAATTTAGATAATTAATATAGGATAGAAAAATAATACTAAATGTTAGGAGTATGATGAATTAGGTTAAATTTCATACTTTTAAATTATCTAAAGATAAAAACAAATAGCAAAATTTGAAATAATGGTAAAAAGACAAGAAGTTGAAAAGTTGAATAATGAGAAAAAGTTAAAAAGTAAGAGAGAGAAGGAACTTTGGCCCATTTTTCTGAAATGGGACCCAAAAATCCATTTGTCAAATTATGAAAGGAGCCTCACACAACTTTTGTATAACTTTTGTATGTCACCTCATACTTAACTCTCAACCACCATAAAATTTTTCCCTAAAACAAAGGTTACAACTTACAAGTATCATGGATACACATCACACCAAATATCCTCTTGATATTCACCATGTGAAATGAATACCTTCACATTTTTATCAACCCAATACACTCTTTCATCATAATAAATTAATAAGGATTGTGTTTCATATGACCAATTTCTTAAGAGTTCAAATGCAAATATGATCCTTTTCTCAAAAGAATTTGATGATAAGTTTAGAAGTAAGACCATCTCCAACCCAACATCATATTTTACATCAAATTTTTATTTGGTGTTTTGGAGCTTCAACCCAACATCAAATTTTACACCATTTTGGTGTGTGAATAGTGTTATATCAAATTTGGTGTAACACTATTCATCACACCAATTCACTTTTTGAATATTTTAATATTATTTCATTATACAAAACTTTTAATTAAACATTATATAAATTGTATGTTTTAATTAAATCTCTTGTATATATAATTATTTTTTATGTAATTTTTTATAATATTAATTTTAGATATAAAAGTTCGTTTTTTTTATAAATTATTTTTTCTATATATGACTTTTAAAAAAAAAAAATTTATGTTCAATCTACTATAAATTATAATTGGGTATAACTACAATTAACCTTTACAAAATTTTAAAATGCAAATATATAAATTATTAAGCAAATAATACAATGTACTTAAAAATAATCAAAAATAATAAACATTCAACAAAGTAGTAATTGACATACATCAAAATTGAAATATGAAATACATAGTAATTTTAATAAGTACAACAAAACATAATAATTTAAAAAAAAATACAACAATAACTTAATAACCTTGAAAGTTGAATAGTTATGTAGAATTTAAAATAATTTTTTCAATTATGTAATGTTTATTTAATTGTATTTCATTAATGATTTCACTTTATTTGTATTATCCATTATTATGTATAATATTTGCTAGAAATTTATATTATTTAAAAAATTATGGTATAAAATAATTTTATATTAAACGACTATAAAAGAAAATAATATGAATTATATATTGTGAATGTTTTAGAAAGAATTTGTTTTATGAAATAAGAAAATATAAATGAAATAAGAAATAATAATATAATAATGAAGAGAGGGAAACATATTTTTTTTTAGTGTAAAATTTGATGCAGTGGATTGAAGTTGATTTACATTAAAATAGTGCTGACACTAAGGGCCCGTTTGGCCATGCGATATGGTATCATGATATGGAATCATGAGATGAAATTGAAGTTTTGTTTGGACATGCGATATGAATTTTTTGTGTTGTATATTTTCTCATAAACATAAAAATCTCATAAGTTGTTAAACTATTAAAATAATCCCAATTGTTTATTCAATCTTATCAAATA